AAGGGTTAGTTTACATGGATAGGAGGGAAAAATAACGGTTGACTTGAACATGTTAAGATTATAGTGACTGGGGAAACATTCTCTAGGGAGTCTGTTTCATAGAGCAGTTGTCCGCGGAAAGAAACTGTTTGAGTGGAACTTAGTTCTCGCCGATGGAATACGGAGTGACTATGGGTGGTTTGCTACTATGTAAGTGGTATGGCGGGTACTAGCGGGGAAGACCTGACCTGGTGGAACCAGAAGATGCAATCCGTCTGAGCACTTTCCATCGTAGTAGCGATAGAACAGTGTAAGACTCACCTGTGTATGTGGGATAGAAAGAGAGAGGTCGGAAAGTCGAAAATAATTCTTCCCCCACAAGGATGCAGAGATACTTTTGAACTCTAACGAGAATGAAAGTGATGTCTGGGAAGCTCCTGCCCAAATATGACAACAGTACTCCATTTTGGGCCTGATCTGCCTCTTATAAAGGTAGAGGATAATATGAGGGGTCAGTTACATACGGGAGCAATAGAGGGAGCCAATCGTTTTACCTGCATCTTTAGTGACAGTTTGTATATAAGAATTCGAAGGGACATCTGTTCATCGTAACTGGCGGTAATTCGGAGTCTGATCAGCGGTGATGTAATGTAACCAGTTTGGTTTTAGAGGCATTTAATGTAAGTAGCCAGTTTTTTCCCCACTGTAAAGTTAGTGTTAGGTAAGAAGAGAGATCAGCTGCCAATCTCTGATCGTCAAGACTTTGAGATGCATATATCGTCGTATCATCGATATAAGCATTTACAAATTATCAGAGTATCTTCCTAGGTAATTAATGTAAACCAAAAGGAGGGGTGGTCCGAGAAGTTACCCCTGGGGGACGTCTGCGTTGAACGCCGGGGCCTCTGAAGTCTGGGCGTTAATAACTCGCTGTTAGAAAGGATTTTATAATAGAGAAAACCCTTCCAGTGATTCCATAACTGGAGAGCTTGTGTAGTAAACCTTTGTGCCACACCTTATCGAAGGCCTTCGAGATATCTAATGCTATGGTCTTTGTGGTATGTGTGTTGTTCAGGGCCTCATTAATTCTCGGGCTGATCGAAACCCATACTGCTCGTCGCACAAGACTTTGTTCCTATCCAGGTGCTTGACAACTTTCTTGTTGATTAAGGCATTAAAAACCTTACTGGTGATACTAAGACTAATGGGTCTATACTGGGAAGGGGAGGATCGGTTGCTCACGTTCTTGAAGATCGGGTATACGCTTTCCACCTACCACATGACTGGGAAGGATTTCTCCTTCAAGCAGTAGTTAAATAACTTTGCTAGAATCGAGGATAATTCTGGGCTGATACTCTTACACTGGAATTTTGTCTTGGCCAGTGGACTTTTTGGGGTCGTGGCTTTTGATAAGTTGAGATACTTCTCTTGCTGAAATGAGTATATTACTGAGATTGTGCTCAGTGAGACGTGGGAAGTTGGGGAGGGGATGGTCTATGATATCTAACGTTGAGTTTGAGGCAAAGATCGTGGCGAAGAGCTTCGCCTTTGTCTGTCGAGGATGATATAACCTCGGGGTCATTTATAACAATAGGCACAGCCGTTTTCCTTCTGTTCATAATTTGGTTGGTGATCTTCCAGAATTCGCGAGATCCAATTTGTTTCTTTTCAACCTTGGCTTGGACAGATTGCGCATAGCTGAACTTTGCGTTTTCCAGGATTTTCTTACAGCGATTACAGGTGGTTCCGAAAGAAGTAAGGACCAGACTACACCGCCCCTTGAGATACATTTTGAAGTAGGAGTCAGGTGAGCTATAGCTGCATCGCATTCAGGGGTGAACCAGGGCTGACTGTTTGGTTTTTGCTGGAATATTTGAAGGATATAAAGGAAACTCTGTTCCAGAAAGGATCCATTCGGAGATTAGGACATCACTTTTGGAGACAGCATGTTTGAAGAAGGTTGGGGGGAGGAGCTTCCGTCATATAGAACCGAAAGCTGTCTCAGTCTGCCTCCGCATAGTGAAAAATCATTCTATGGAACGGTAAATCAGGAGATACGATTGGTTTGGAGATAATCTGGACAGTAGAGAATAATTTAACTTGTTAGAAAAAGGCCGAGGAGGCTCACCTGCTGTCTCGTCGCATCCGGGACTTGGGTGGGTTCTTCAATGATCTGAGTTAGTTCATATGCGATGGAGAAGTCTTTGCAATATCTGCTTTCTTCATCGGTTTTGTTAGAGTTGACTAACCACTCTTTATGGTGAACTTTGAAGTCACCGCATATGGAAAAGTTGGCCGAGTGATGTTCGGTGAGGATATTGTCCTTTCTCTCTGATATTCTATCGAAGATTACCGACCCTTCACTCTTTGGACGGGCAAAACGAATGTGCTACTATGGAGAAGTGTCACGCAGAAACACGTACGGGAGATCAGGATCCTTGTTTTTTGTGTCCCTGCCACAGGGAAACCCGTTCTTGATTATAGGCACCGAGCCCGTGACCATGTCGATTTAGGTGGTCGTATTTTGCTATCATGGGTGAGTAGCCCGGGATTGCGAGCTCCTGCGATGGGATTGAGGCATTGGTAGCTGTTTCAGACAGGAACGGGAGTTCAGCTTGAGAGTGAAGGAAATGGTTCCACTTCTGGAAAATTTGAACGTAGACATTGCTGTAAGAGGCGGTATAACTGTAGTCTACTTTTTGGGGTTGAGTTTGCTAGTTTTGTTCGTTTTCAATTGGATTGCTTCCATGTTTGTTTTGGTTGGTTTGGTGGATGACTAGTAGGCAGTAAAGCAGACACCCATCGGAGATGCACGCATAAATAACCTGGGTTAACTCGCCCGGAGATATTGCACATCATCATGAGTGTATGTCTCGTCTGCCTAGTGGTCAAGGCAACAGAACACCTCCTTGGGTCAGAAACATCGTACCGGTCAGGGACCTAGAGTATCAAGTCAAGCTCGCTCATATACATGACTAAGAGACCCATTGGAAGAAGTGGGATGACGAAGGTTCCTCGGGGGTGCATGTGCATCCCTTAACCCCATTTGATTCAGTATCAGATGCATAGTATTTAGGCTGCGGGCATATGCACACGGGTCAGTTGACGACGCCATAGAAACAAAACTTGCATTAAATATAATACGATCGACAATTAGCATTAAATTATTGTGCAGGTAAAGAGAACAGGCGCCCCTAAGCATTATGTAACACACACACACACACACACACTTACATACTTACCTCAAAGTAAAGTTTAAGACAGAAATTTAAGGATAGTAACACAGAAATTTAAAGAAAAATAACAAAATTTTACATAAAAAATAAAGAAATAAAATGGTAACATGAGTTAGTTAAAACAAAAAAAGTTAAACAGATTTTATCAAAAACATACATTAGGACAGGCGTAGACTTCTTTGGGTGCGTCCTTGACCAAAAATTGTTACCGGCACAGAATGTCAATGGCGCTTTCTTCGGAGGTGTGGTGGTGGTAGGTATCTGACCGACACAACGAACTATCTTGCAAGTATTAACGTAGGGTGGGGATCGTTCTTTCTACATAGAAAATTTCAACTGTCCATTAATATAAAAGACGAATTGGCGGGATTCTGTTGTTAATTCTCTGCATCTCTTTCTTTCTCTGCATCAACTGTTAGCAAACAGAGAAACAAAAAATGCACAGAAAATGCCACTGTTCATTATTATATAAGACGAAAGGGCATAATTCATTTGTTACTTCAATGCCTGAAATAAAAGTTATCTTGAATGGCTACTCATCTAGGTCTTTTTTGCACAAATGCTGGTGCTTCCCATGGCGCAATCTTTGAACCTACGTTGTTTCTAATTTTCATAAATGACTCTTCTGATGGCATCAATTCTCGACTCAGTATCTATGCTGATGAAACAACTATCTACTCCTGTCTTAATAGTAAGTCTGATCGGTTCGATAAGGTGAAATTGGCAGCGGATTCCAAAAAATGACCTATAATCTGTTGTTAAATGGGACAAAAATGGCTTGTTAATTTTAACGACTCAAAAACGAAACTGCTGTTTCATCTGAGAGAACGATTTTTAATTTCCGTCATCATGGCTGATGCTAACCTTCAGGAGAGTGACTCAATGCACCTTCTCGAACATTTTCAGTTCACATGAAATGGCTAAGCCTGCAGCAAACAAAGTTTGGTCACTGTCGTGCTACATAATTTTCTCGCTAGAAACTATCTTACATATTTATAAGTTTACTATTTGTCCGTGTTTTGAATATTGCTGCCACATCTGATCTCGTGCTCCTGCTATATATTTAGAAATTCTTGATAATATCCAAAGAATCTGCAATGTTACTGGTCCTGACCTGACATCTCGGCTTCAGTCCATTTCCTGACGCCGTAACATAATTTCCTTGTATCTTTTCTATAAATACTTTCATAATAATTGTTCTGGTGAACTTTTTTCTATGGTATCTAGACTTTATGAATTTAAGCGTAATACTGGATTGGCGGTGAGGTCTCATCAATTGACAGTTGAAATTGCTAAATGAAACCATAAGTTATAAGCTAACAGTTTCTTCTATTGCACTTCTCCCTTTTAAAATTCTCTTCCGGCATCTTGATTCCCAGTCAAATGTGCATTAAAATGTTTGAAGATCAATGTCAAACGTTATCTTCTTGGATCTTATTCTTTTATTGCCCTCTTATTAATATTAGTTTCTCTCGGTCAATAACGCTTTGCGTCCTAGCGGCCTTGTTGCTTTGCTTGAGGAGAAATGATTTTTTTAAAAAATGCATCTCTTTCTTTCACGGTGACAACAGCTGCAAACAAAGAAATAAATACACAGAAAATATTACACTATTCATTAATATATATTATTAGATGAAAAGGTAGGAATCATTTTTAATTCTCTGCATCTCTTTGTTTCTCTGTTTGCAACAGTTGTAGCAGCGAAACAAAGTAATACAAAGAAAATGCCACACTGTTCACTAATGAATAAGGGAAAAGGATAGGATTCACTTGTTAATTCTATGAATGTCTTTGTTTCATTGGGACAACTGTTGCAAACAGAAATGCACAGAAAGGTCGGACTATTCATTAATATATAAGAGGAAAGAGCCAATTCATTTGTTCATTCTATCTATCTCAATGTTTTCTCAAGTTTTTCTTCTCTTTCTTCTAAAATCATCTCATCTAAGTTCTATATTATTCTATTTCTTTCTTTCTTTATCAATGTTTTCTCCATCTTCTCTTTCTCCTCAAATGATCTCACCATCGTTTTCTTTTATTCTCTTCCTTCACCAACAGATTTCTTCGTCTTCTCTTCCTAATAAAATTATATCATCTTTGTTCTATTTTACTCTTTTTTTTTCTCTCTCTCTTATTCTTCATCAACGTTTGCTCAACTTTTTCTTCTCATCGATCTTAAGCAATCTATAGTCAATCGTAATCTTTACTCAAACCTTATCTCTCTTATTTTACTTCATTTTTCTGATCCCGGAATGCCACCACAGTATTCGCTGCCTTAATTCCTTTTGTCAATCTCCAGCTTGCGTCTCTATAAGTGCGGCATCAATATTCTCAGTTTTATTTCTCTAATTCGTTCCGAAGACAGATTATCGACGTTAGAAGTTTATCTCCGTAAAGTACTTTACTGAGCATATAACAGAGGCAATTCATATAAGTGCGGATTTATTTCTGAACGAATGAGAAGTTTTCGGTAAGACATTCATGGTGAAGAGCCTCGTTACTCGAGTATCGTTTACAGGACAACGTCATGTCGATCTGTCGTAACTGCATTTAGAAAAATCTGGATTAGACACTCACTGCATCAACTGTTAGTAATCATCGGTGCTGAGAGTGACGGTAAGAATCTCGTTTGAGAGAAACGATCGAGGATTCAAAGAAAAAAAACGAAAGAAAGGCGACAAATACAAAAGAATATAACTTGCAATGAAATGTCGGAAATTCAACTGTCACTGAACGCCACGTTAATGTGGCTTTGTACTAGACGAAGTAAACACTAATGAGTAACTATTGGCTTACTTGAGGAGAATTGTGGACTTTTCTCTTACAACAATGGCCGCTGCTCGAGTCCAGGTGAGAAGCTAGGATCATGTGAGCGAGCCAAACAGTTTGTTACTACCGTAGTGAATTTGATTCTCATTGGTTGCATCCTGGGTGAAGTTAGTAGTAGGACCTGATGAAAACTAATTTTTCAAGATAGACGGACCGTCACTCATAAGAGAGGCAGAGCGTAATTTTTACCCTTGATCTTCACTCCCCTGTATGCTTTTGTGACATCCTAAGCTATTTTTAATACATACTGGAAAGGAAAGTCTTTAAATTTATATATATATATATATATATATATATATATATATATATATATATATATATATATATATATATAATGAAATGGACAAAGTCCGACAATTATTTTAAGACATTTTTAAAAGAATGTATAAACATAAAAATGTCTTAAAATAATTGTCGGACTTTGTCCATTTCATAAAGTGTGACGTCATTTGTTTACATTTGATACGCCATGATCAGATATGAATGTACGTGAGAGATTCATGGAAGATTGAAGTTTAAATACAGTAAATTCGACCTTGCTAACCGAACGCTCCTTCGTGGCCAAATCGGTAAAGGCACGTCAAGCAAAATGTCGGAGGACGAATATTTTCTGTGAAAATTTCTCGGACATTCAGGCCGGTAAATGTTGTTTAATACTGTTTATTATTTATTTATTATAAGCAGAGCATTTACTTAAATATTTGTATCTACAAAAAGAATGTATAAACATAAAAATGTCTTAAAAAATATATAAAATTACAACCAACCTCGCTACCCAGATTTCGACCATAAGGACTCCTCAGACAAGTGGAAGGATGTAGAAGCCAAATAAAGCTATTCCAATATACCAGAAAACCGGAAGTGAGAGGGTAAAAGTATGAGGAAGGTGGAAGGTGGAGAGGAGAAAAATAATAACATTCTAGGTGAGGAAAAGAGGGGAAAAATTATCAAATTTATTTTTAAATGCTGCATGACACACTCGTCCGCTCCGCCCTCCTAGCGCTGATGCCCGCCACTATGCAAGGATCCAACACCAAACACCCACCGAAGACCATCCCGACACCCAGCAGGCACAACCGCAAACTTTCGTTGCTGAAGAAGATCGAGTCCCCTCCCCTCGCGGCAGAACGAGACGAAAGGCCCAGCCCACCTTAAACAAATACACTGGCGGGCGCGAAAGTGATGACACACCTCATCCCAAAACTAGGAGGCATTCACCGTCCGCAGAGAAGCTGGCCGGTCCCGAGAAAGACCTTCCAAGAATCATGGACAACTTGCAGATCATGAAACACCAAATGTGGTCTCCAAAAAGAGTCAACGGTGAAACTTGAGGAAATCAAAAACACGAAGAAGATACCAGTCATGGGCGACAAAACAACAACAATCTCTCCAACGAGACCCGGCGGCCACAAAAGAAAGGCCGTGAACGAGGTCACCTATATATAGGAAAGGTCCCAATTCCTATGCCGATATTACGAACAAAGAAGCAAACGACACTGCAAACAAAATGGGCATCGGCGACAAAATGCATACATCCTGTGAAAGGGAAGCGCCCTCGCGGCAAAGGACCAGAAAAAAAGACCTTTGCAGCTGTCCTCCATTTCGCTCCACCAACCCAACAAAGACGGAGTTTGGTGCCATCATCCGTGCTACCACTCAAAATGACTGCGATTTGCTGAGTGCAGCCACGCAGGCCAACCAGCGGCAAGGCACCAATGAGTGCATCACCCGACTCAACAGTACCAATAACAAGAATGGCCCGGTCCTCATTAAATATATTTGCGACTTTTATCCATCTATTACCGAGAAAGGTACCGCGGAAGCATTAGATTATGCCAAACAATTTGTAACCATTAAAACAGACCAATTGGAAGTTATTTTTTACTGTAAAAATTCGGTGTTATTTCATGGCGGAGAGGCATGGGTTAAAAAAAAACAAAAAAAAGCAAACTTCATGATAGTGGCTTTGACGTTCCCTAAAGATCTCTAGACGTGGCAGAAGTTTCTGAACTTATGGGTATTTATATATTGAGTAAAATCAATAAATTTGTTCATATAGACAGCCACGGATTATTCAGGGATAACGGCCTGATGACTGTACCCGATAATAAATGGGCTAACGATACCATTCAAAAGAAGCTTTTTTAAGATATTTAAGGAATTCGGCTTCAAAATTACGGTTGATATTTGGATGTCGAATTTGACCTCAGAGTATGAAAAAGCTTTGAAAGAGGAGTGACATTATACGAACTTCGTTTTCACACCTCATGCGCAGCCTAAACGTAAATCCAGATGCAGAGACACAATCTGATTTAACCCCACTTTTTTTTTTAATTTGCAGTTAAAAAGAAAAAAAAAGATTGGAAAGATATTTTTTTAAGCTTTTAAATAAATATTTTCATAAAAACTCTTTATTAGCGAAGGGGTTTTATAGAAACCCGGTGAAACTAAGTTACAGTTGCATCGGTAACTTGGAAAATGTTTTTAAGGGCCATAATGTTAAAATCTTGGAGACGGAAAGAGGTGGAAGGGAAGAAAAGAGGAAAAACAACTACAGAAATAAAAGCAATTGTCCATTGGATGAGGAGTGATGCACAGAAGACATCATTTACACTGCTGAGGTCAATGATAAAAATGATTCAAGAAAATCTACATTAGATGTACTAAGGGCCCTTTCAAAAAGAGATTTTACAATCATGCTTCATTTTTTAGTTTGAAGAGCCATAGAAGTGACACCAAGCTTGCCGATCGTCTCTGGAAATACAGAGAGATGTATGGCAGAAGTCCTTGTGTAAAGTGGAACATGGTGAGGAGGGTAAAAACTGGCAGAATTCGTGGTAATTGTTGCCGGCTGTGCCAGGAAGAGTAATTGACCATTGTCACATATCCTGATAAAGGTGTCTTACGAAACGAGAGATTAAAACAAAAACATGTTAAAAACCGCTACATAATAGCAATCCAATGTGTCTTCTCGGGCAATGGTAAATTACTGGTGAATGAACAATTAATTTCAAAAGCAGAATACTTCCTTTTTTTCTTTTTTTTTCTTTTTTGAAAGAGAAGACAAAAAAAAACAACAATTAAAATGTGGCTTGTGGGTTTACCGTGATTAAGCAATCAAATATGAGGCCTACGCTAAAATCTAAACCAACTGAATCGTTTGCGACTGATACAAATGATTACATTATTTTGTAAAATATAGAGAAGTATGACGTTCAACTTTCACCGGAAGTTAGTGGGAAAGAGGTAGGGGGAATAAACTAGCGTCATGTTAACAAGACGTTATTCCAAAATGTTAACACATCAGCAGATAGCTATTAATGTTAACAACTGAGCCCAAATATTTATTAATTAAAAAAATTAGCAATTAATGTATAATATTATCCATGACTACATGTACTATAATGTCGTTTTTGATAAAAGTTAAAAAAAAAAAAATAACCATAAATACGTAAAAAAAATGCGTATGTTGAAAATTCCTTTTTGCACAATATAGCTATTTGTTCTATGTTATAATGTTTATTACCTAAACAATAATAATACTGAATAGTTTTTTTAAAACATTAAAGTATATTTAATCACATCTCCCTAACAGCTGACACGGTCTGTAAATCCAAACGAAGGAAATAAGACTGTATTTTGTTTTAGTCAGATGTTGATATTTTTCTATTATTATTATTTCTCTTTCTTTTTTTTCTCTTCATTCTTTCATTCTCTCTCTCTTTCATTCTCTCTCTCTCTCTTTCATTCTCTCTCTCTTTCTTTCATTCTCTCTCTCTCTTTCTTTTCATTCTCTCTCTCTCTCTTTCTTTCATTCTCTCTCTCTCTTTCTTTCATTCTCTCTCTCTTTCTGAAACGAATCTATTACATATCCTTTTTAACAGATATATTTCTCTTTAAGAAGTTGACAAACTACTTCTGGTTTGAAACTGGCATTTGCACCTCCAAATCTGCATCAGTTTTGTTCTCCCAAAACAACTTTTTTTTCTCAGGGTCATAAAAAAAAAAAACAAATACCAATAATTTGTTATTATACAAAATAAAATTCTCTACAATTTCATTTCCTCTGTCAACATCGAAATCTAAAGGTGCATTGGAGTAGTGAAAGGTTCCTCTCAAAATCTTTCAAAAAATATTAAGAAACAAGAAGATTTCGTTGGAAACAAATATTGCAATATCAGTCTTTGTATATGACAATGGATGCTGGACAATTTCCTCACGCATGACTTGAAGCAATAGAAATGTTGTTCTACAAAAGGACGCTAAGAATATCATGGGCGGAGAATATAAGCAACGAGGAAGTTTTAAAGAAAATGAAAGCAAGGAAACTTATACTTAGAATCAGACAGTTTTAATTTCTAGGGCACATGAACGGCTTAGAGAATTTGCCACTCACAAGACATACTGAAGGCAAGTAGGGAAACAACTAGTAACCTACCTAACGAGATTGGATAGCATTACGGGGAATGGGAGGAATAGTAAAAAGACAAAAACTGCTAAGAGCTACAAACGATAGGAAGTTGTGAAGTGACATGATCACCCACGTGATCAAAAGACACAACGCAAAGAGATCAGAAGACTATTCGTTCTAATTGCTGGAAGTCAGTTAAATTTTCACAGGGTAACTATATGAACATTATCCTGGGAAAATTGTTATTGTCCAAAAATATTTGTTGTTTATTGTATTGATTTCTGTTTCTTTCCTTGTAACGTTGGTCATTATGCAGTCGTTTTAAGTGTCCAGAATTAGAGGTCAGTTTCGCGTATGCGACATTATTACTTTCTATTCATCGCCTGCTACGAGCGGCTTCATTCAAGAGTTGTCCTGGCCCATTTCCAATGAGCGTACGAAGATGAAAGGTCTAAACATGCATTCGAACTAGGAATACACTTCAATTTTCAAGCTCGTACTAAGTTGTGTTTCTGAGCTGTACTCAGGTTCCTCTATTTGAAAAGTAACAAGCCACAAACAGTGCGGAAAAGCTGATGTAATCAACCCAGATCATGCCAGAATAGACTTTGCACTCACTATCACAACAAACCAGCAAGGAAGCCAGATGAAGCTTTGACCTAAGGAGACCTCTCAACTACCGAGAGTAGATTCACGTAACCGGACCAGCTGCATCCGGGTTGCAAGCGTGGGGGAAGAATTGTATTATACGCAGTTACCTAAACACACGCCACACTGAATAAATGGACAGTCTTTCTCGGACGAGAATAAAACATCAGCCTTTCGGATGACCGTGAAACAGTCACCTTGCAGTGTTGATTTCTCTGTCCACATTTCCCCCTTCTCTCTCTCTCTCATATATGTGTGTGTGTCGTCCGAGAGTCCCTATGAAACCCTTTTCACTAAAAAGTATATAAAGGGAAAAAATAATTACTATTAATTTGATTGTGGAAACATTTTAAGTTTCCGAACCTTCTTTGAGAATTTTACTATGATTGGCAATGTTACAAAAAAAAATTACTTCGATTCTTGAAACGACATGGAGCTTTATAGAATTTTTTCCTGCGAATAATCCGAGTGCGTATAAAGAATTTGTCTATATTTCTGAGATGAGGTATTATGTACACTATTATACATTATTCGGACTATTGTCCTCATCCATATTTATTACAACGTTTCGGCCGTTGTACGCTCCGGCCTTCTTCAGGTGGTGGTTGTAATGTCGAACTGAACCCTTTATTTCGCTCACTAAGGTAGACTGTTCTAATTCCACGTGCCATGTTTAATGGATGTCAGTTATCAGTTATCTCCTTTTAATTCCCTTCTCCAAGTTCTCCACTGACTTAACCGGGTATTGAACTCACACTGTTTGGGTCCTGTAACTGGATCTAACAAACACCTTTATCCACTGTGCTATGTGTCCTTGAGGACAGTCGGTGGAGAACTTGGAGAGGGGAATTTACAGATAACTGACATCATAGAACAGTCTACTCCAATGAATGAAATAAAGGGTTCAGTTCGAAATTCCAACCACCTGAAGAAGGCCGGGGCATACAACGGGCGAAACGTTGTAATAAATATGGCGACAAAGATGAGGACAATAGTCCGAATAATGTAAATAGTGTATAAAGAATTGTATAATAGAAATTGTGAGGCTATGCCAGTGGTCCCTAAATGGTGCAGCGGAAGAAGATAACAGGTGAGGTGGAAGCACTCAGGCGTACTGACGTGTACTGACGCCTTCCACATCAGCCACAACAGACAATAAAAATCCCCTCCAACACAGAGACAGGCAAATAAAGAAGCTTTGGTTTGGGAACGGTTAATAAATTTTCCTATATAAATTAATTGTAATTGCTTTTCTATTTTACGTCATTTCATATAGCGGGGAAACTATACTCTAAAAGTGAAATGCTGTAAAGCGAACTTTCGAAAATCGAGGAATACGTATATGTAAATTTACTTGTAATTTTTATCTATTTATCTCGTTCTGTTTATACTTGGATTTTGATAGATAAGTATTTATCACCACATCACAATCATTTGTTGCCTGTCTGAAGCCTGTGATATTTGCTTGTAAACGTTGCCTAAAACAAAGTAAAAAAAAAAAAAAATAGATTTATTTTTTCATGATGCGTAAGCTTCCCCAGCGAGAAGAAAGGCATAACACAATTTTCTTAACTCCCATGGCAGTATAAATATTTATGTGTATTTCTTAATAAAGAGAAGCCCAAAATAAATACGTCACTGAACAGATAAGTAATAAATAAATATATTGCCCAGTCTCTTGATATTTCACATCGATAAATGCTCAGTAATCATTATAGCGGAAATACGTGGATACTGAAAAGTTTTTAATCCAACCAAGATGGAATTTAGAAAATAAATTTGTTTGATCAAATAGTCCAATTTTAGAAAATAAGTTTAACCCAAAATTTTCAAATATAGCCGCTGTCAGAGGCAACCAGTTATCACAATTCTTAGAATTCCACGTCCCTTCAGGGCGTAAACGGTCCTAGATGGCTAGAGAACCCAGTCTGGACTTATATCTAACCCATAACTAGGGAATGAGATATATTCTCATTAATGCTCTTTGGAAAAGTATATATATATATATATATATATATATATATATATATAAAATTCTATGATTTCTGTTAGTCCGTCCGTCACACTCTAAAAGAACCATACATTGACCCAGTAAAACCAAATTTTGGGGGTAAGTGCAAACAGGTAAGGGGGGTACAAAGTACAGTTGGTCTTACTAGAATGCGTAGCTTAGTATAATAAATTTTTATTTATGTTGAAGGAAAAATTAAGTTTTATTACTTAACATACAAAATAAGTTTACCACGTCGCCATTCTTTTTTCTCTCAATGCTACACTGACATCAAAGAGAAACTGACCATCGTAAGGCATTTCCAATCCACTTTTATTTTATTTAACTAGTTGCAGTTTCGTCAATATAATTAACAAGGCCAAAGACATCAAAAGGTTGGAATTTGGCTTCAGAAGGAAATATTTACATATGAGCAGTTCTTTGTTGCATGCTCAAGAGTAAGAAATCTAAAGAATTTGTTCTTCGCTGTTAAAAAGGAAAGCAATTTTCTCAAAAAAAAATTGCTTACCATGAAGTATTAAATTATTAAACTGCAAAGTATGGTCTTTGCCAAAGTATTTTTACAAATCAGTTTATTCAAATTTCATCGATTGATTTACGAAATTGAACGAAACGTCGAGTTTGTAAATCTCGACAATGTTAGCGATAACTTTAAAAATACTAAATATTGTGGGGATTTCTAGTTCTAAATATTTTTCAGAATACTTGTAAAGGCGTTCAGGTCGCTGTTGGAACAACGACTCAAAAGACTTGAGATTTTCCTCTTTCACCTATTGCTTTTTAGTGAAAGTGTACAAAAGCTTTGCTTTTTTTTTTATATAACCAGAAATGACCTCTCCCCCTAAGCGTAAGATGACCCTTTACAAAAATCATAGCTGGAAACTAAAGGCTCTTCTGAATCACCTTCAAGATTATATTAGTGACGCACTAGACAGACTCGGGGTAACATATTGGGACTAAATGAATAGATAAGAAACAGCAGTGAATGATATGTTACTGTGTTTCAAGCATTTAAAATATGCCCACAACAAACATAATCACTATACAGTTGAGCTAACAAATTTTGCATTTTTTGCGATGATGTTCACCTTCTACAAGGTAAGAGTCATAGTTTATGCTGATACCTGGGAAAGATAGCGGTTACATCTAAACTTGAGCAGGTTAAAAATATAGTGATCAGAGAAACATCCTCTTGGGAATCGATTCTTCTAACAGCAGTTTGTGGAAAGAAACTACTCGAGTGGAATTTACATTTTGCCAATAGAATACAAAGGGAATGTGGGTGGTCCGCTACAATGCCCTGGCATATGATGGGTCTTAGTCTTTAAGGTCAGAACTAAGGAATGCAAATCGTCTGAACATTTTCCATGGAAATAACAACAGCGCAGCGAGAGGCTTGCTATGCTTCGTCTGTGAGGAAAGGATTGTAAAGTGGAAAACAATTCGTTACTCACAAGGACGCGGAAACGCTTTTGGATTCTATCGAGACTGGAAAGTGAAGACTGGGCAGCTCCTGTCCATCTACAGCAGCACTACTCCATTTTCGGCCTTAATATGCAGCGAGAGACATTTAAAACCTGAAAAATATAATCAAATATTGGTTAATAATTAGAGTTAAAAACAGATCAGAGGTCTGTGTACCGGGAATAAACTCAACAACAACGACTAAGGGCCGGGAAAGCTTTTTTTTATAACCGAATAAAAGTAATTTATTAAGGAGTAAAACCCTAATTAGTGAATATTTTTCTTCAGATAAGGCTTTTGAAAAAGGCATTAGGAAAAATATGAACCAGTTTTTTGTTCGTAATTATTTTTAATAAACCGTAAAGA